TTGTTCTTTTTACCTGAAACACCAGAGAGCATTTTGTTGACATCTTGTCTCTTTATCTATAAATATTTCAGGATTTACTTCCTAAGAACGAGGGCTTTCAAGATAATAAATTTTTAATAAAAACATAAAGTTTAACATAAAAACCATCAGAATAAATTTTTTTAAATGTGAACTACAAAGAAAAATACTCTGCCTCCATTTCACACAAGGGGACATTTTTGGCCTGTTGTGGTTACTGTGTGGTTCTTGGACTCCACCACAGTGCCTGGCACACAGCAGGTCCTCTGATACCTGTCAGCATCTTAATGTGATGGTGTGATACTATTTTGACTGCATTTCTAAACAAAGTATTTCTGAAATAAAGCAAACGCAATGACAGCAGAATATTCAGTCATTTTTTTTAATGCCAGTGATTTGTAATTCACCAGTTACACAAAGAGGGAAAACCTGATGTAAAGGACTGATGGGAAATCACCTTTTTAAGATGAGACAAACAGGTCAGAACATCTGTAAATGGTGCTCTGTTGGTCCCTCTCTGGGCCACCACGGGGACCTGCTCTTGTCACAGGTAGCGGTTTCTGATGTATTCTCGGTACATGGAGGTGTCTTCTTTCCCCAGGGGCTGCATGATACCTTGACTGGCCTGGATGTGGGCCTGGAAGATCTCTGTAGATCTTCTGTCCACTCTTGGAGGCTGAACTTCATAGATGTTGTCTAGTGAGAAAGCTGAGATGGGTGTTCTGTAAAAGAGAAGACAGAGCTCCATTAAAGAAAGTGGAGGACCACAGGGACTGGTGATCTCAAAAGCACTGGAGTCACTGACCTTGAATGAGTCGACTCAGTAGTAACAGGTAGTGGTAGTGACCTCCCTGTCCCCTCGTGGCTGGCTCCCCCTCTGCCTGGAGGACAGAGCAGGACCAGCACCGACCGAGGGAGCACTCCCTGGCACACAGGCTGGGCGGGCACCCCTCCTCTGTTCCGGCAGCCCAAGGAACGCCCATGCCCGTGTGCTCCTCTGCCTCCCTCACACGACTGGAGTAACTTTGGGTGGGAGCTCTACAGACTTCTTGCTCTTTTTCCTTGGCATCCGGTAGGTGCTCCATGGTTTTTTTTTGTTTTGTTTTGTTTTGTTTTTTTTTAAGGATGGCTTAGTAGGAATCAGTGAAGTAGGAGATACTAATAATTCCTACCTCACACGTTGTTGGCAGGAGTAAATGAGTTTATATATATAAAATGCTCCCTTAGCATAGTCCCTGGCACACTGTAAGTACTTAGTAAAAATGAACTATTGGTAACAATTACCAGTGCATAATTCCTTATATGCAATTCTGAAAACCTAAAAGCTTTAGTAATAAGATGGTACTTTGTTGGCAAAATCTGATCCAAGTGAAATTCATTTGGTACATTTGGTAGTAAAACATACTGACAATAAACATACCACTTAATGTGAATATTACTGCGTTTAATTATCGGATGGCCTCAGACCATGCTGGGGATGTTCTTAATGTTCTTATAAGGTGTATGCTACCACCCCCATAATTCTGAATTCTGAAACATATCTCGCCTCAGGCTCTTTGGACAAGGGATTGTAAATCTGTAATACGCAGCTTCCTTCCTTTCTGGGGTGATCTGAAAAGCACCCAAGAACCTCTCTATTCCAAAAATCCCAATTTATCCCAATTTATTAATCAGGAGTTTGAGATTTATAGATACTACTATATACATAAAATAGGTAAACAGCAAGGTCCTACTGTATAGCATGGGCAACTATTCAATACCGTGTAATGACCTATAATGAAAAACAGAATGGAAAGGAATATATATGTATAACTGAATCACTATGCTGCACACCAGAAATTAGCAAAACATTGTAAATTGACTATATTTCAATAAAAATAAATTAATTTAAAAAATATCCCTCTGTTGTGGCCCCACTGAGCCTACTATAGTGCTTAAAATTTTCATCCACTGTTGGGGGAAGGTGCTGTCTCCAAAAAAAAGGCCTTGACAAGATGTAGCTGGGTGCCTGACAACCCTCAACGCCTAGCAGTGTGAGCACCTGCTAATTATTACATCCTTGGCTGGGGGCAGGCCCCCCAGGAATAAGTCAACCATCAAGTCAGGTGTGCTGCAGAGTGTGTGTGGAAGGTTGAGAAGAGGCCGCTGGTAGACGAGGATGGTAAGCGAGGCCTGGTGAGGGGCTGCGGGGTAAATAAGTTCACTACTGCGGAGCACACCCCACTGCTTAGCCCAGGCTGCACCTGCGGGGGACGGGTGGGGTCTCCACATCAGGGCAGCAAGATAACACAGAGAAGAGATCTGGAGAGCGTGTTCTGTTTGGCTGGGACCTTGCTCACATACAGACCAGAGGAACAGAGAGGCGTGCTGGATGCCTGGCTGTTCGGTGAGCTGGGGGAGATTCCCTGCAGTCAGAAGCAGAAGTGAACCTTGGGCCCAGCTAGGTCTGTACTTGCAGTGTCAACATTTTGTGGGACACTAGGAGGTGCAGTGAGTGGCCACAAAGGGAGACGGGAGTTGTACAGCAATACCCTCCATCCTCATAGGACTGGACTTTCTTACTCTTCTAGAAAACAGTCAAGGTAGCTCACTGTACTTTGCCTTGATCTAGAACACTAACACATCCTGTCTTGGCTAGAGATTCTACTTTAAATTGTATTAAAATAAAATACAATTGGAGGTGGAATATTCTTTCCAGAAGTCAACCTCAACTGTTTTGACCTCAGGGTAACATATTTAAATTCAAATTTGGTTAATGATTTATGAAATCTAATAACTGCACATAATCTTATAATGTACCCTTATTTAAGTAAATAAAAACCAAAGGATACAGTGATTTACTCTAAGAGGAAAAAAAATTAGAGACTCCGGTGAAAGAACCCTGAGCTGTCTGAACCTCAACTTGTGCGCCAGCCTGGCAGCAGTGCTTCTCTTCAAAACACACAAGTTAGTTATTCTTATGTCTGTGGTTAACACATTATAATGATGAATAGTTGGGTGATTAAAATATGAACTATTCTCAATTTTCCCTCACAAAAACATAGCCACTCTGCAGTCATTTACATAAATCAAAGTGAGCTGCTAGAATTCTTTAATGGTTGATAATATTCAGGGTTAAACCATTTTAACCTGAACCCCTAAAAAGGAGGTTCCACTAGTGTTTTTAGAGATTGTCATCAAAGCACCAGTCACAACAGCTCCTCCTGAACCACCCTGTCTACACATGTCTAGTTTCTATACCCTTCATTTTACAGATGAGCCATTTAAAGTCAGCTTAAAAGTGGGACTAATGGTTTCTGTGCTTGGAAGCCGGACCTTTGCCTGGACCCCTGTGTGCATTAACCAAGAGCTCTCCAGCAGGCATCACACCAGACAGTCCACAGATGGAGGAAGATACTGTCTGGGAACTAAACAGTACAGCTGAGAAAAAGAGAATCCGAGTCACCGAGTCACTGCTGTATCCTTCAGAGGCTCAGCTCAACACACGAGTGGGCTGGTTGTGAGGGGAGCAGCAGCAGGGCCAGCAAGTGTCCAGTGAGGGAGGGCCAGGACTCAAGAAGGGGCACACACCAGTCACTTCCCCCCGGAGCTTTGGGTTTCTTATCAGTAAGTCAATCAGAAGTCCTACTCATCTGCTTCACTGCCCCAAGGAGTAGTGAAAAACCATTACTAAACACTGTAAACAGCAAATGTCAAGCATCAGCCTTAACTGGTATCAGCCTGAGTGGCAGGTGGGCTTAGGGCTTCAACGCCACCTCACTGTGGTTTCAAAACAACGCAGGGAGTTAGAAAAGGCATCAACCATCCCTTTAGTCCTTCGTCCTTTTCATTCAGACTAAAGTCTGTATCAAACAACAAAATTGTAATGTTAAAATGTTTATTACTGGTTTGGGGTGAAAGACGGTTAAGACACACCCAGTACTGTTGGCACAATCAGAAACAGGAGGAGGAAGAAGGGATTTCACAAAGAAACCTTTGCCTCCTCATTGTACTCGGATATCAAGAAGCCAGTCACAGTGAGCAACTCGTGGTCTCATGGCAGTGGTTCTGTAAACGTGGTGCCCAGACCAGCCACATTTGCATCGCCTGGGAACGTGTTAGAAATATAAATTCTCTGGCCCTTTTCACAGACCTGCTGCATTAGAAACTCGAGATGAGGCCCTGCCAAGGTTTTTTAACGGGCCCTCCAGGTGATTTTGCTACTTGCTAAAGTTTGAGAATCTTTGGTCTAAGGAAACCAGACTGTACCTAAAATGCTAAATAAAATCTTATTTGTGGTCAGTGGACAGCACTGAACATTTCTGAGTATGAACTTTCTTCTTAAGTGATGTACTAGAACTAACCGTATGTGGAGAAGGCGTCATTTAACACTTTACGGTAAGGAGATGAGAAGCAATGTTACATTTCCTAAGGAGGAGACACTCTGATTTCCCCATTGGCTTATGCATTTCCAAGGTGAGGAAGAAACACAAAAACATCTGAGACTCACAAGGGGCTGCTGGAGGGCCCCTTGTCTCTGAGAGCACTGGGAAGAGACGGACGTAAGCCCCATAATACTTCCAACACTACATGGAATGGTCTTTTTATCAGCTTAGATGGCATCTGTTCCTGGATGAAAAGACCAGTGTTTAAACACTAAATGATGTGGAAATTGTGAAACTATGTTCTTTTATTCATTCCAGTAGAGAAAGCTGGCTTATTACTCCACTTCCATGGTGGGGAAGAAAATGATTCCACATTGCTTTTCTGGCCATAAACAGAAATTTTGTTTTCAGCTTCTCCCCACAGTCTTCAAAGGGATAAGACTTACTGCCCTTAACTCAAATGTTAGTAGTCTTTTTGGAATAAAAATATTTTTTTACTGCATATATTTTTAAAAAATTTACATACATGTACTGTTCATTGTTTCTAAGAACGTTTAGAGCTTTAGGTTTATAAACTTACATAGTTATCAAAGGAATATAGCCAACCACAAAGTAAGAATTAATTCAAGAAGATACATACACCCTGCTATTCTTTATAATTGCCAAGATATGGAAGCATCCTAAGTGCACATTAATAGATGAATGGATAAAGAAGATGCAGCATATGTATGTAATGGAATACAACTCGCCCATAAGAAAGAAAGGTATTTTGCCATTTGTGGCCCTTCATTCACTTTTTTTTTCTTTACACTTCAAAAACCAGAATTTTATAACTGGCATAAACATTTCCATATCATCAAAAACAACAAAATATCTAGAAATAAATTTAAACAAAAAGGTTACCTATACTCTGAAAACTAAAACATTAATGAAGGAAATCGAAGATGATGCAAAGAAATGGAAAGATATCTTGTGCTCTTGGATTGGAAGAATCAACATTATCAAAATGGCTGTACTACCAAAGCAGTCTACAGATCCAATGCACCCCTGTCAAAGTACTCGTGACGTTCTTCACAGAACAAGAACAAACAATCCCAGAATTTATATGGGACTATAAAAGACCCCAAACTGCCAAAGCAATCTTTTTGTAGGTCCTTTTTTTTTTCCCTCTTGTTTTTTCTTTTTGTTCTCTTTTCTCATGGTTTGATGACTAGAGAAGTTCCTTTAAAGTTTGTTGTAAAGCTGGTTTGGTGGGACTGAATTCTTTTAGCTTTTGTTGTCAAGCTTTTGATTTCTCTTATCAAATCTGAATGAGAGCCTTGCTGGATAGAGTATTCTTGGTTGTAAATTTTTCCCTTTCATCACTTTAAATATAGCGTGCCCCTCCTTTCTGGCCTGTAGAGTTTCTGCTGAAAAAAATCAGCTGATAACCTTATGGGAGTTCCTTTGTATGTTATCTGTTGTTTGTTTTTTCTTGCTAATTTTAATATTTTCTCCTTATCCTTAGTTTTTGTCAACTTGATTACTATGTGTCTTGCTGTGCTCCTCTTTGGGTTGATCCTGTGTGGAACTCTCTGCTTCCTGGACTTGGGTGACTATTTCCTTTCCCAAGTTGGGGAAGTTTTAGGTTATTATCTCATGGAGATAAAATATTATAGTTACAAAATTGCAGGCTCGTTTCTTTTTACCCACAAAACCTAGTTCAATCTTCAAGGAGGTCTCTGTATTTCCCCTCAAGGAATGCTGCAGTCTTATTTAGAATATCTGCCAGTTCATTTGTGGACTGTTTAACCTGTGTTGCTTGGTGTGTCTGAACACTGAGGGCTGATGGCACTTAGCCTGACCTGCAGTTCCCATGCATGGAAGAGAAACCAACATTTCAAGCAGAAATTCATCAGACACACCACATGCTTTTAAAGAAGATCCTGTTGGTGCCCTTTTATGCTCTTTCTTAACTGTGGTGTTACTGGTTTGGTTATAATATGACCATGTCCTATAATAAGGGTATCTCACACTTGGATGCATGACTAATGTTTGAGTCATGACTTAACACATAGTGAGTACCCAATAAGCATATGCAGCTTTGACAAGAGAATATTTAATTGACCAGACTGAAATGTCTTCTGAACTTAGTAATGTCATGATGATTTGTGGTTGCTGACAGAACAACTAGACAATATTTGTATAGTTTCAGTAATTTTACATGTGATACTTCTCTGTATGTTAAAATTATACACTTTTCCTATGATGAGCGTTTTGGCACACATCAAACCCCACTGGGCATTTCCAGAAAATTTAGTAATGATTCTAGTCCCCGGATGCATTTCTCTTCTCAGTGATCCCTTCTGTTGCTACCACGAACTCCAAGTTTTCTCCCCAAGGTTGCTGTTTTCAAATCACTAAATGATTCTGTTGGTTCACGACTGAGTGACAGAATCAAAAGGATATTACAGCTGAAGGGGCCCATCTGGAAGACCTTGACCAGCAGCCTCACCTGCAGATGATGGTCAACGTGGGGTCACTTCCCTCATTACTTTTCTCTGCTTTCTGGTAGAAAAGTAACTAGTGCAGGATCAAAACTGATCAGAGGCTCTGGTCTCGGTGGGGCAAAACCTCAGCAGATGTCTTCATAGCACTGGCCCTGAAGATGACTGTGTCTTCTGCTAGCTTTGTAATTTCTATCAGGAAATAAGAGCTCCTATCACCTAACTGGCGGGGGCGGGGCACTACAAAACACGTTGCCGTGTGATGATTTTCTCGTTCTAGCTTTTGACATTGTGCAGAGCCTTTAGCCCTCAGTTTGTGGATGCCATTCTAACATTTTTTGGTGACCGTCCATTGCTGCTCTTTAGTCCCCTTATTAGGTTGCTTGTATCTTTCCATCAAAGTACTCATACACTGAGGATTAGTCACGAGTCTGTTCTACCAAGATAATACAGTGAGACTGTGTTTGCTTCTTTGTGTTTAAAACTCAAGATAATGCTGCATATTACTCATCTTCTGTGCACAAGGATAGACACTGAAGTCCAGAAAGCAGCTCTCAAACTGCGCTTGTCCAAAACGGTAGCCATTAGCTGCATGTGGCAATTTAAATTTATATTTAAATTAATTAAAATTAAACAAAATTTAAAATGAGTTCCTCAGTAGCATTAGCCACACTTCAAGTTCCTGAGAAACACATGCTGCTAATGGATACTGTACTGGGCAGTGCGGTGCAGATTGCTTCCATCATCACAGAAAGTTCAGTTGGACAGACTGTTCTAGAACCTCTTTCCTGTTACTTTTTCCCTCAGAAACTGAGTATCTGTGTCTTTCTAAACCCATTACTCTAATATGGCTCTGCAAACCACTTAACACTATCGGGTCTTTTATCTATCTGTTTATATGCTTATTGGGATGTGACATTCATCTCCATTACCTCTTTATCCCCAGTGCCCAGAAGAGTACCTGGCATATAGTCAGCGCTCAGTAATTATTCACTGAATGAATGAATGACGTCTGGTTAAGGAGGATGCTTTTACCTTGGATTTCTAAATTCAGAGCCTGAGTGTAGTGTGATTTGGATCACCCTGGACGATAGGGAGGTAGGATTTCCCAACAGAAGCCCAGCTTTTAAATTCCTTTCCTCAGCTAACCCATAAGGTGGACAAGGGCACTGAGGGGAAGCTGAGGTGCCTTCTGGGAGTGGGGGCAAAGCTATCAAAGCAGCTCAAAAAACCAGGGTGAGGCAGGAGCAGTGCCTTCTAATCCCCCTTTAGAGGTGAGAAGACAGTGAGTCAGAGAGATTAACAAATTCACTAAATGGGCTGACATCAAGAGGAGTGTATCAATCTTCAAGGCACCTCTAAGAAAACAACAAAAGGCAAAACATGTCCCTACATCCTGGGATCCAAGAAATCAGGCTCTGTGTATGTAATTCGCTTTTATACAGCCTGTCAAGTCAGTTTCAGTGTTGGAGATACGGGTGAGCAGTTTTATTTGCTACCTACTCACCCAAGGGCACTTTCTTGTGTCCGTGAGAAGACATCTATGAGCTCACAGGGTAAAGGTGGCAGGTTTGAGAGGCGCATGCTCTTAACCATGTAATAGGAAACAAAACCATGTTATTAGCTGCTGATGACATTCTAAACTCATCAAGGTAAAAATAAATTTATTCCTGCTAAAAGACAGCAAGTCTGTATTATACACACAAAATGCTATGAACCTAATGCATGATTTTCCCAAAGTCCAATTGAATTTTCAATCTTGTTATGCCATTGAGAGCTAATGAACATGACAAAGAATAGCAGACAAATCTGATTTCTTCAAATCCAAATTCCAAATCCTTTTAACAGCTGCTATTACAATGTGATGATAGGACTGTCCTCCAGCAGAGGCACTGGAAGGGAGGTTAGAAATTTCTGAGGCAGGATAAAATGCATTGAAGCAAAAATGATAATAATGCCAGTCCCTAAACAACCCACCATCAGAAGGAGCAAAAAGGGTGATGAGAAGGAACTGAAAAATATGTGATGATGGAATATAAAATGTGCAACCCTGCGGACCAGAGATGCTGGCAGCCCTGTCTGTATAGCAGGCCCTGCCAAGGCTCAGCAGTAAGGAATCTCCACTCCTTACAGCAGACTAGGTCTTTATAGATTTTGATAGGAGAGGGCCAGGTGTCGTTTGGCTATGGAGAGAGCATGAGGACAGCAAAACTCTTGTGTGTGTTTCTCAAACTCTTACCTGCCTTCAACGTGTCAAGGAGCCATGTCAGTGACAGGCCAGCCAGAAAGATGCTGCGGTTTCACGAGTTAGGATTTTATGCATAAGTCTAAGTCACATCAACACAGAGAAAAGTTATTTTTGGACCAAAGGACATAATGACCTTAATATAGCTCAAAGAAATTCATGCATTTGAATGTCTAACGCTGCTAAACTATCTTTTGAAGACTCATTTTCCAGCAGATCCACTAGGTGAAAAAAAGTATATGTATGTGTACACACATATGCTACATATACAGATATAATGTTTTATGTAACTTATTTATACTTACATATACTAATATATGCACATGTTTTTAAATGGAGGAAAGGGCCATATGTAATATCTGTGAAATATACATATTACATACAAAACACATGAAAAATTATATGTGAAATATATGTTATATATGAAAATGTATATTGTATATATTATATATATATTTCAATACTTCCTACAAAGTGATGTACTTCACATGAGTCCATGTGGCCTCACTTTCACCATGTCCATTCTATTGTGCAGACACTGGAACAAAAGTATAATGAGCATTTGGGGTAATGAAGCCAATGAATCTACACAATGTACTGTAATATTTACCATTTCTTTGAGCTGGAACATCTTGCTTTTAAAATGTGACTTTCCATTTTATACTGTTATACATACACACCTTAGAGGCTGTTACAAGCTTGTTAATGTTTGGTTAAAATGCCATTATGACACTGCCATACATGTAAGTTAAAAACAAAAAAACTAACAATGCTTATCCAGTGTTTGTCATGGAAAAACTACTGTCCTTTAAACCTATCAGTGCTTTTCACCTTTTTACTGTAAAATAAAACAGAAAACCACGCAAAATAAATATATAGAATTATTAGAAGGTGAACACAAACTGGGTCAAGAAACAGAA